CTGTCTGTCTGGCGAGCACACGCGCCCTATAACGAAAAACCTCTCCAAAGAAAAAAAAAAAAAGAAAGCATTTGCAGCCCTGTGAGAGACACTGCCAGGCTCTCTGGGAACAGTAATTTGCATGGCCCTGGTGTGCCCGCTCCCTTACAATCAGAGGACATGCATTTGCATAGTACCTGGAGGCACCGCTTCTTCCTCCCTCTAGGCTTGGGGTGTCTCTGCCCAGGTCCTGTTCCATAAGAGGGCCCTGAGACTGGAACCAGGAGATGGGGGAAGATGCGGCACCAAGGGTCGGAGGAGGGTAACCACCAGGTCCTGCCAGGTTGGCAGCACCACACCACGGGGGCCAGCTGGGGCCACACATGGCGGCTGCTCTCCCCGGGGCCCTGTAGTTGCACTGTGGGCCTTTGCTATTTCAGTGCCAGGAGTCACGCGTCTCCGCAGAAACCTGGACCTACAAAGATGTCACCATGCGACGCCTTGCTTGTGCAGATAGCTGAGCTCTCAAATGCGCCCCCACCTGCTGACGTGAGGTGATGGTGGCAGGAAGGAGATGGGGAGGGAGAAAGCCTGGGGAGGTGACATGGCTGGTGGGATGCCATGGGTTTGGGAACGGCCCAGCCTGCATGCCGCCGGGGATGCCGGCCTCATGGAGCACCCGGGCAGGACTGACGGGGTCCTGGAGCCCCCGCACCTCCCCTCCCATGCCGGAGTGTCAGCCATTAGCAGCTGCGAGAAGAAACTCTTCAGAGCCAAAGTCACGGGTCACGGAGAGATGCCCCCAGGAGCAGCAGCCTGGGGCAAGCCACATGCACAGACGGGCCAGGCCGCCACGGCCGGAAGCCACCAGTCCTCTGACTCCCCCAGACAAGGCTTGCGGCCCTCAGTGGGACCCAAGGCCCGGGACCCCCTTCCCAGCCCCAGGGTCGTCTCTTTTGGAAGAGACATCCCCACACTGAAGCCCACCCTGGAGAGGGCTGCGGTGCAGCAAGGCGACCGCGTTTTACTGCGCATATTTCGCTCCCAAGCCCAGAGTGACACGCAGCCCTCCCGCTGCTCCAACCTCACTTACCTGCACCAGAGAACACAGATGACGCGTCGGCACCTGCCGGGCCCAGCCGACTGGGCCTGCACGGCCTCCTGCTCCCAGAGAGGGTCAGGCTCTGAAAAGCAACCCCTCCCTGCCCCCGCCCTCCCCGCCCCCACCAGGGAGAGCCAAGCCATCGTCGCATTCAGTTTCTCTCGGTGCCTCCACCCCGGGGTTGTGACCCGGCACACAGAAGCGGGGACTGGAAGGACGCTCCTCCCGGGATGGAACGACTGAGGCCATGCCCAAAGCCCAGTGGCAGAGGGACCCAAAGCACGATGACCACAAAGGCACACCTGGGGGCCTTGAAACAGATGCTGTTCTCTAGGCTGAGCAGTGGGGATGGCCTCTGTGTGGAAGGAAGCGGGAGGGGCCGAGAAATGGCCTCTTGTACTTAGTACTTAGCAGCCGGGGCTTTGTGTTCGCTGTTTTCTGTCCTCTGCCCAACTGCAAGCCAAAAGGAATCCACAACACCAGGTAGAGTTCGCTTCTCCTTTAAGGGTGACTGCTCCCTGCCCATTCCCCGTGCGTCGAAAGGACGCGGAGTCCACTCTGTGCACCTGTGTCCAGCCTGCCTCTGCCAGGTGCTCCCTTTGCAGGATGTTCCTGGTTGCGTGTTCCGGTCTGTGGGGCATGTGGGGGTCTCAGGCAATGGCTCGACCATCCGAGCACCTTAAATACCAAGGCTTCTCCTCGCATATATACACGATCACGCCTGGCATCTGCTGGGAGTTTAGACAGGGTCTCTCCCCGCCCAAATGATGGTCCATCTGAGTGTCTGTCCCTGGTGTGTCTGTGGCATTGCAGACACCCTTCTGTCAGAAGTACGGAATACCCATCAATCACTTCAGCTGTGATTATTTTCCTCCTCAAAATAATTCATCTAAACCCACCCCTGGTGATTTGGGAGCACTGCAGCCAGGGGCATGCAGCCCAGACCACAGGGCAGACCTTCACCCAAAATTCCTGATGGTGGCCAGCTGGCCTAGACTTAATCGTGACTTTCCACACCACCCCGTTGGGCACGTTTCTCCTTGCGTGCTTTCTCACAGCGTAGCGATGCTAACACGTGTTGCGACCCTCTAGTGCAAACCACTGCCGGCCCTCAGACACTGCCCATCTCAAGGGATGGGTGCAAAACCAAGAGGTTCTCACGGCAGCCCCTCAGGGGTCACCTGGGCACGTCCTTGCTCCCCAGTGCCATAGTGAGTCCATCAACAAGCCCTGCTGATTCTACTTCTAAATCCCTCTGGAACACAGATCAGCCTGCCAGCTGTGCGAGTAAGGGCTGGTGCTCCTGCAGCCATCTTGGACCATGAGGTGTTAGCCATGGACTGTCTTCCTGACGGGAAGACAGAGGAGCTGAGGTCCTGGGTGATTTCCTGAGGCTGCTGCACTAGCCCTGGATTACACCACCCTTCTTTTACGTGTGAGAGAAACGAACCTCTTTATGGTCCAAAATAACATTTTTAGCTTCGATTACACACAGCTGAACCTCATCCAACCGAGTCACTAGAGGGGCTCAGTCCTGTGAAAGGGCATACAGCTGGCAAAGCACCCATGGCTTGTTGCTTATGATGATTGGAGGGGGAGATGGGAGGAGAGGGAGGCCAGAAGGGACATAGGAGGGAGTTATCCTTTCACCCACAGGCGACGTGGCCGTCACCAAGTGTAGGTCCTCTGTGTCTGCTTGTCTGCCCGCCCCCTCTCCTCACAGCAAACAGCCTGAGGGCTTCGGCTCCAATATCATTCCCGCTCTGTAAATGAGAAAATGGGTTTGGGGAGGTCAGGTATTTGGCAAGCTCACACAGTGAGTGGAGGCAGCAGGATTTGAACCTAGGACACCTGGCTCCCAGGCCTGGCCCTCAACTGCTGACTCCCAGGGGTGTTTGTTTGGCTTAAAATCCAATAGATTACCCTTTAGGTAATAAAGAACAACTTTTCAAGGTGCCAGAGCTGCTCATTGGACATTCGTTTTCAGAATCAAACCATAGGGATGCCCAATCCCTGGGGTTGCTTGCTGAGGACAAGGTCCCCAGGCAGATCCTCGTATGGGCTCCGTCCTGGCCGGCCTGCAGTCACTAAACAGAACCAAGCAGAAGGCCTGCAGAGGCCGTGGGCATCGTTAATCCTGGTGCCAGCAGTCACGGTAGTCGGTCAAACGTCTCCTGCCCACCCTTATGAAGAAATAAAAGGCAAGCAGCTCCCAGAGGAGCAGTGTTCCACCCCAGAGAAACCTGGGTGGTCTCTTTGCCACCTCTCCTCCTGCAGGAAATGGTCCCCCAAAGTGCAGACCCTTACTCTGTCCTGCCCGGCCTGGGCCTGCCGGCCTTGCCCAGGCTGCTGCTGCCCTCCGCTGGTCACAGCTGGAATTGTCCTCCATCTCCTCCAGGACAGGATGCAAAGAAACCCCAGAAAATAAGTCCACTGAGGCTCCTTCCTGCTGCCCTCAGTCCCGCCTGCCTCCTACACCCTCCCCCGCCCTACCTGCTGCACCTGCTCCCACCACCCCTGTCATAGTACGGAGGGGGCCAGTGGCCACGAGACTTGCAGGAGCTGAGGGGAGACCACTTTATGTGGGCCTGGCTGCCCCCAGGAACCACACACAGGGTGCTGTGAGGGGCAGGACCAGAGTGAGGAGGAGGGAGGAGGAAGGTCGAGCAGAGGGCTGAGGACACTCTTCATTGCCTTTTAGCGAACCTACCCCTGAGATAATCAATTATTGCTGTTACTTGCACAAATTGCCACTCAGAATGGCAAAATAATTTCCATTTCATTGCTGTCAAGACCTTAGACTATGGGGCCAGGCCTTGCTCTGAGTCTCCGACACTAGACGCATGACCCCGGGCAAGTCCCTGACCCCTGGGCCTGCCTTTCTCACTGGGGCCTGAGGGTCTGAGGACAAGGGGGAGGAATGAAGTGGGCTTTCAGTGCTCTAGGGGACCAGGAGGCGTCTGGAAAGGACAATCCTGACCCCCAAGCCCACATTTCCAGGATGTATGCAGAGTGTATCTACAGCGGGACTGCAGAATTGGTGGAAGAATGGAGTTCAAGTGTGCATTTCTTTTGGGGCAAAACATTTTTGAAATTCATGCATAGTTGTCTTTTAAAATAATTAATTAATTATGTTTAGACCAGAGATGGAGAGAGAGAGAGAGAGAGAGAGCAAGCCACCAGGTCCGGAACTCAAACCATGGTCAGCCATGTGGGAGTCCAGCACCCTGACCACCACAGCACCTGCCAGCCCCATAATTGTCTTATAATGTGCGTTTTCCATGAGCCTTTGAATAGCCCTCATATAATTGATTTCAAATAGAGGTAGAGGCTCTTGCCGCACAAATAACACTTGTTTGGACAGGGCTGCCGATGCACGCTGGTGTGGAACACGTGCATGTGTGCGGATGGTGGATTCTCACCGCCGGAGGTTCTGCTGCTGGCGTGGATGGGCACGGAGGTGGGCTGTGAATTCAGGGAGGCCATGACTTTGGTCAGGTCGTTTCACAGCTCCGAGCTCTGTTTGTCCATCCCTAAGGTGAGAATAACAACCTGCCTCCCAGGGGGCACTGGTGAGGCGGGGCGCTCGGTCCGGGTACGTAGGAGGTGCTCACCACAGGCGCCCAGCAACACTCGTGCCCAGCTCCCCTCGGCCCCACCTCGTGCTCACTAAAAGCGGCCTCTATTCTCGCTTGGGCACCAGCCTGCTGCGTGATCTTCAGGGCCCAAAGGTCCACCCTTCCTGGCCTCAAAGTCAGGATAAATCCAGGTAGAAAGTCCTGCCTGGAGAGCTCAGGCCAGGCGGTGTGCCCGGGTCATGCTGGCGGACCCATTGGCGAGGTCGTGGCGTGTGGTCGGCCCTATTCTCTCCAGCGGATGAGTGGCTGCTGCTGGCCCCAGGGAGCAGGCCCAGGACGGTCCCCCAGTCCCAAGGCCCTGGGCCCCTCCACTGCAGTGGCCTGTGGTCAGAGCTGACCTTTGGAGCAGCTGGCCTGTCACTTGCCATCTGTTTTCTGCCTCTGTGTCCCAGGGGTCCCTCCTGTCCCCATAGGGCTCAGCCTTGCCCACTCATCTCTGTCACCCTCACCCGCCCTCTCTGCACCCATGGTGTTACAATTTATGTCCCTCGCCAGGCTCGTCCTTGACGCCAGGTTCCAGCTGCCCCCTGGACATGTCCACCTCACAGGCGAGCTTCCTAGAGTGAGGCTCCTGGCCTTTGCCCAGATCTGCCCTGTCCCTGCTTTCCAGGGAAACTACTGTCCCATTCGTCAGCTGTAACTGGAGACCACCTGACGATCACCTCGCTGTCACCCGTGTCTAGCTCATCAGATTCCTGGTGGCTCAATCTTCAAAATATACCCAGGGTCTGGCTGCTTCCTGCCCCGCCACCTGCACCCCGACTGT